TGTAATGCCCAGCAAGTTGTAGCTGTAATGAGTTCCTGGTTGTGGTTGTAATGCCCAGCAAGTTGTAGCTGTAATGAGTTCCTGGTTGTGGTTGCAATGCCCAGCAAGTTGTAGCTGTAATGCGTTACAGGTTGTGGTTGTAATGCCCAGCAAGTTGTAGCTGTAATGCGTTACAGGTCGTTGCTATCCAGGTTTACATGATCTCTTAGGAGGAGCGAGCAGCCGAGCCGACCTTGAAGATGGAACCCATGGGGGCTTTTGAGGCTTGTTTTTGAAAGGCGTCCTAATGGGGAACATGATCCCCTTCCTGGGGCTCAGATGCCGAGATTGACAGGAAATTAAAAGCGGCGTCATGAAAAGGATAGAGAGTAAGCTTTTCAGTTGTTAGGGGGGGCGCTTCACTCAGTGCTATCACAGTTAGGCGAACATGAGTTGTGACTTATATGAACAGGTTCATGCCTATTGCCTATGTGATGTCTTACCACCGTAACTATATTATTACTATCTTGCTGAAATTTTCAATAATGCATGACTGAAGCGCGTATATCACAATTATTGCTAGATTTGTGCCTCGTGAACGTCCAATCTTTACAGACTTTTACCTTCATTGGATGTAGATTCTTAAAGTGCCATGTCGATCGAGCGTTTCTATATATACGTTATACGCAGACATGGCAGAGACGTATATGAGCAGGTTCATGCCTATGTAATGTCTTACCATCGTTACTATATGATTATTATCTTGTTGAAATTTTCAATAATGCGTGACTGAAGCGCGTATATCACAATTATTGCTAGATTTGTGCCTCGTGAACGTCCAATCTTTACAGACTTTTACCTTCATTGAATGTAGATTCTTAAAAGTGTCATGTCGATCGAGCGTTTCTATGTATACGTTATACTCAGACATGGCAGGCGTCGCCATGTATCCATGATACGCAGACATGGCAGGCGTCGCCAGGTATCCGTTATACGCAGACATGGCAGGCGTCGCCAGGTATCCGTGCTTCGCAGACATGGCAGGCGTCGCCAGGTATCCGTGCTACGCAGACATGGCAGGCGTCGCCAGGTATCCGTGCTACGCAGACATGGCAGGCTCTGCCGCTGCCTCACGGGCGATCAGCTGTTCCCCTTTATATGTGGGGCGCTGCCGCCCCCTCATCCCCAGCTAACCCTGTCCTTCCTCGCTGCACTCGTGAAGCGTTCTCTCATATTACCCACCAGCTTCTCTCTGATTTGCTGCCTGCGCTTGAGAAATAACAGAGTTTATTTGAAATATCACAGCTGCTTGAGTGCTGTGAGCCTTCAAGTTTTGCTCTTAGTTTCTTGGGGGAACTTGAGTTTTATTGGAGGCAACGACCATTTGTTGCTAAATGTTTTCTTTGTCTTGTGAAGTACCCGGGATGTTTATCAACATCGACGCTTGATTATACGTATTGATTGCGGTGATGTGTTCCTGTACCTCGTGTCAGCTGCTGTGCCCATGACATCTGCCGTGCCATCTCCTCCCGTAGACAACTGTCATAAATCCCCACGGGCACCTGCCATCACCTGCTCCCGTGGGCACCTGCCATCACCTGCCCCCGTGGGCACCTGCTATCACCTGCCCCCCGTGGGCACCTGCCATCACCTGCCCCCCGTGGGCACCTGCCATCACCAAGCCATCACCACCCCTCTCCCAGCCCCAGGCACGACCTTGCGTGTGGCAGGCCTCGTTGCTGGCCTAAGGCTGAGGGATGCCCCTCATCCAACTCACTGAGATTACCCTCATCGTCTCCCCTCATCCCCTCATCCCTTCATCTTCCCCCCTCACTTTTTGGCGATAAATTCGAGAAGATTTTGCTGACCTTCAGTTAAATAATAGGCACTTCAACTGCACGGCTGCCCTCGGTGCTCAGCGGCATCACGCGTTGCCATTGAAGAGATAAAGACGTATCTTAGATCACACAATAGCGCGTATCTTAGATCATACAATAGCGCGTATCTTAGATCACACAATAGCGCGTATCTTAGATCATACAATAGCGCGTATCTTAGATCACACAATAGCGCGTATCTTAGATCACACAATAGCGCGTATCTTAGATCACACAATAGCGCGTATCTTAGATCACACAATAGCGCGTATCTTAGATCACACAATAGCGCGTATCTTAGATCACACAATAGCGCGTATCTTAGATCACACAATAGCGCGTATCTTAGATCACACAATAGCGCGTATCTTAGATCACACAATAGTGCGTATCTTAGATCACACAATAGCGCGTATCTTATAGATCACCCAATAGCGCGTATCTTGGAGTGTTCCAGCAACGCATGTTGCGTAAGACATGTTAAATGCTATCGATTATATTTAACGAAGAAAGATACGATATTTTGCGAGACATTCATTGATATTATGAAGCAGAATGCACACATCAACCGCCCACCAGACAAGTCCTTGATACGAGCGACTGGGTGAGGTGCCTCTCGAAACTGTCCTGTTCAATGGACCGTCTTCCTCTCTTTGTTAATGAGCTTAACGAGAGCATTTTTAATGGTCACGGCCGCGCGAGCTTCATTTTGAGAGCGCCTAATGAGACCAGCCATTCATTACAGCCTTTCCAATCGGCCGTTTTGCTACTTCGCTGCGAGCGAGGATAATCGTTTTTTTTCTCAAGGAATGTAGCCTTCGGTATCCATCACTTGACATTGTGAATAATAGCCTGCGGAGAGGAGCGCTGTCCGCAACACGATTTATATATTTTGCCCTGCAATCAATGAATACTCGTTTAATCGGTTTCCGTTTTGTATTGAAAATTTTCAAGATCAAAAGTCAACAAGCACCACATTTGTGAACGATGCTACTCTCAACCACCCAAAAAGGCATCAGAATTACAGTCGCGAGTAATCCTGCTAGTCTTAAAGTAACCTCGAGTAAAATTCTGTTATCAAAATTGTATATCAAGTGTCCACGAAGGTCGAGATCGCAGGTCACATCGAAAGATATTGGTGGTACATCACCGGTATTGGCAAACTGGTTGGATGTCGATCATCTGTGTACTTATTCTTCCATAAGAACCAATTCCGTGCAAGGATAAGACTTTTTTTAAACTAAGGAGAAGCGTTAGTATTGTTACATAAGGTCGTTCACCCAGTCTTTGTTATACGATCGATTTGAAAACGATTGTGTTGCAGATCATTCCTCTAACCTGATTTTCGGTGTTGCTCAGGTAGAAATTAATGCATTCTTATATACATTCTTGCAGCTCAAGCTCTCTCTATAGATGTTCCATCAACATCTATAGCTCAAGCTAACTTTAAAGTTCCATCGACATATCCTATTCTATCTTTTATCTAAATATCCATTTTCAAATTTAATATGCAACTACTACCAGTCCAAGGAACTCTCTTGTAAGCCTAGCCACTTCTTCAAGCTTCTTCTCACGTGAACTGCTGCTGTCGTAAGCATGTAAGTGTCGTAAAGCTCACATCATTTCACGGTAGCGGCGTTCGTCTAAACAACTTTGTTGTGTTGCTCTTATTTTTTTTCACTAGCCACTTTGTTGTATTGCTCTCAATGCTTCACTAGCCACTTTGTTGTATTGCTCTCAATGCTTCACTAGCCACTTTGTTGTATTGCTCTCAATGCTTCACTAGCCACTTTGTTCTGCTTCACTCGATGCTTCACTAGCCACTTTGTTCTGCTTCACTCGATGCTTCACTAGCCACTTTGTTCTGCTTCACTCGATGCTTCACTAGCCACTTTGTTCTGCTTCACTCGATGCTTCACTAGCCACTTTGTTCTGCTTCACTCGATGCTTCACTAGCCACTTTGTTTCACTCGATGCTTAACTAGCCCCTTTGTTTTGTTGCTCTCAATGCTTCACTAGCCACTTTGTTCTGCTTCACTCGATGCTTCACTAGCCACTTTGTTCTGCTTCACTCGATGCTTCACTAGCCACTTTGTTCTGCTTCACTCGATGCTTCACTAGCCACTTTGTTTCACTCGATGCTTCACTAGCCACTTTGTTCCACTCGATGCTTCACTAGCCACTTGCTCTAAAGCGGCGAGCTCGGCCATAACATGAAGATTGGCAGCGGTCATTTACGGCACCCTGGGGCTGCTGCAGACCGCCACAAGAGTGTCAAACACCAGAAACTACACGTTTTTTAAACGTCGTATCTTAAAGATTATTCTTCTCTAAACTTGCGAAAATAATAAATTCCTTAATTTAATGATTGTTTACAATCAATTAAACGTTTTGACTTATCATCTGATTTCCAGGCCGTGAACTCTACACTGTTAGAAAAAACGTTGAAAAAACGGTCCACTGGCGTTCTAGTGGCCGCCAGTAACGGTAATTTTTCTAACAGTGTATTATCGAGACGGATTGTGAACGTCAGCATCATCTTAATTGTTAGCTCAACGATGAATGATCTCAAAGGTTGTAGCGATGACTAGATAAAGACTTTTGTTCTCCTGTGTTCGCAGAGGAAAACATCCGCCAGCTGCAGACGCTGCAGGACAACATACAGCGCATGCGCGATGCCGGACTCACGGTCAAGGTAAGCGATCAAATCCTCCGTGCAACTCCACGCATTCCGTGTTGCGGGAGGTGCCACGTCGAGCACGTCCACTGGTATCATGATGACAAATGCTTGGTAGTTTTATAAGAAAAACATCGCAGTGTCGTAAGAAGCTCGATTCATTGATGCTGATGCGCTGTATGTCAGTTGACTCACAGGAGCAAGATGTCGGGGAAGGCTAACGCTGCGCTGTGCGGAGGCTGGGAGGTGCTCAATGAAGTTCAATCTCCTTGCACAAGCCTCCACTAATTCTACATCGACAAAGATTAGGTCGTGTGGAATAAACTAGAATTGACTAGATTTGGATCATAGGAGCGCGGCTTCGAGACTTGCTCCTGGTGCTCCGAGACTTGGAACGTGTCTAGCAAACCATGTCGCATTTTAAACACTTTCGACACTTTCAAACACTTTTCAAGACCGCAATCCATACTTGAGTCGCGTTGCCACCCTATTTCCTCCTAAGCAGAGCCGCAAGGACAACATGGGCGCCGCATCTAGGGCCGAGTATTGGCTCAGAACTGACTACTCAGCAGGGCTGTGTCTTACCTTGACTTCAGCGGTACCGCCACGGTGAATTATACGGCTCGCTCAGTCACGGCGTGCGGCAATCCGGCTCAGAGTCGTGCCGTTTTTACACTGGTTTGAATACGGCCGGCGTTACTCAGAATATGAAGGTTCAAACCTGTGCCGACGTTTTAGCCTTTTTTAATGGGTAGCAAATGTTGCCGTCAGTAAAGTTATCAATTGATGATAAACAGCGGCTACTGCATCACTCACAGCTAAAAAGAATGCGAGGCGTTCTAAACGTTTGGACGCGATTTCCTTTCCATATAAGCCAGAGAGAACATTAATTACCAAATAGCTGGCCTGGTCGACGAGCAATTTTTTTATAGTTCATGGAAGGACTCCTACCGTAAATAGTACCGCCTGTACCTGACTCTGTGATCCTTAGTATACGTAAGTGTTTCGGACGCAGCAGTCCCAGGCCAAGTTGGCTGGGGCGCCGCAAACACGAGGTTACACTTCATTCCGCAAGTGTGTCTATTTTTCGTGAATAATGATTACATTAATACGCCGCTATAATTAAATATTATTAATAGAATAATCAATTGGTTACTCAAAAAAGGGCAATCTTTCATCTTATCCTTCCAAACAAGTTACTACAGTTTGTAATCAAGCAACTTTTATATGAAATAAAAATCTACGGATTGACCTCCTAACTTTTGAGTTACTTCCAATGGATTTAATTTCATCTCGGTTTGATCATTTTCCAGTCTCTGTGTTTGCTTTCTATTGGCAGCGCCTATTTATAAACATCAAACACGAAATTCCAGCTCACATTCCATGCAGTTCAGGAATTCCATCCAATGTATTAGTATTTTTCCAAGTTTGGAAGGCATTTGAAAGCTCGTTTCCGAAACTCGCCTTGCCTTTCTGAGAAAGCAATCTTAACTAATAGCAGTGCGAATTGCATTACATTCTGGTGTTCAGTGATGGCATAGATTTGAATGGGCTTGGTATTGAGTCATCCGTCTATTTTCTAAAATGTTTATTCCAGAGAGACAAAACAAATGTTTTGCTACATCCACATTCAAACCCTGCTGAGAAAATTGGAGTTGCTGAATATTTTCGGTAAAATAATGTTTAAAATTAACGCAAGAAAAGCATCGAAGACCGCATTAGCTATGCATCGAAGCGAGGGCAACAACCTCGAAAGAATTGGAAAAACAGAATTCTTCGAGAAAATTATTCATGCAATGAAAATAATTCCATACGGCATACTTTGACACCGCGGAGCTCGCTTATATTGCATACATATTTCAGCCATCAACAGCGAGAATAAACAGCTTCTTGTGCTGTGCACCGAGGCGCCAGGTTCACGTCGTCACGTTTAAAAAAAATTAGATCAGTACTCACTGCAGTGAGTGACAGAGAGCGTATTTTCTCGGTCACATACGGACGGACGGACGGACATGACGAGCACAATAGCGCCTTTTTTCCTTAAATGAGAAAATGCGCTAAAAATTCAACCAATTGTTTTTTTTTCATCCGGATATTTCTGACCGGCCACTTTTTTGGTGACACGCTCTTGGTGGCAACATCACGATGCCACCCTCATGATGCCACTCACTTGATGCCACCCTCACGATGCCACCCTCACGATGCCACCCTCACGATGCCACCCTCATGATGCCACTCACTTGATGCCACCCTCATGATGCCACTCACTTGATGCCACCCTCACGATGCCACCCTCATGATGCCACTCACTTGATGCCACCCTCACGATGCCACCCTCATGATGCCACTCACTTGATGCCACCCTCACAATGCCCCTCCTCGCCACAGCTATGGTTCTGTCCGCGCTTTGGACCGACAATCCTACAAGTTGCTTGGACTGCGTATCCAGGCTACAGCCGTGCCCCGTGTAGGACAGGCTCCCTCCCACAGCCATCCTACTCCACACTCGACTGGCGTGCGTGTTGATTAGTATAATAACTATTATTTTACGAAGTGCCTGTCATGGTGTCTGATTCAACCGAACTTCGAGTGTTTAATACATGTAAATTTGATAGTGAGCAAAAAAAGGAGAAAGGAAAAGAACGGACAAAATCATTCAAAGCTCTATAATAATACGAGCGACTAGATGCTCGCGAATTAAGCCTGGCGTCAACAGATGCTCGACACTAGTTTAATGTCAGCACAAGTTTTTGAGCTTGCAGGAGCTTGAACGATTGGCGTTTTGAGGACGGTATTGCGGCAAGTGTTGAGCCCCGTCCACACGCTCAAACTTATCGTCAGTCTTGCATGTCATGCCAAAGTTTGACCGACAAGACGGACGACTGACGAGCGTCCACACGTTCAAACTTTCCTGCAGTCTGGTGCGCTCGCGGCAATGGAGGAGCTAGTGCTGCTCGCTGCAGTGAGCGCAGTTTGTGCCACCATAATTAGGTTAAAGCGATGCAAACGTACGCGGTGGTCCCGAAAATGGTTTTAAAAATACCACAATAAGGGTTGATAGACAGCATGTCTACCAGCACCGGGCCGCATTGACGACTTCATTTTGGCACATTCTTTTCGATAAAGAGTTTATTTTCTTCGTTACAAAGTCTTTGTTTGCTGTAGGGTCAACTTCTTCGCACTTAGCAATCAATGCCGCATAGGCGAGTGCTCTCTTGTTCTTGTCACTGTAGCTTTTGATTGAATTTAACACAAACAATGGAAACTACGATATTATTCGCTAAACTCGCCAAAATAAATCTTGAAACCAGTGTCGGATATCTTGAGATATGAAAAACTAGAGCTAGCGAGGAACAATGTCACAGTTCTCAACATCAATATAGACTGAGACAGTAAAAGTTTAATCAATTAGTCGGTTGCCCGTCCACACGCTCAAACTTATCGTCAGTCTTGTACGAACCCAAAGGTCTCGCCCGTCCGTTTTTTCCAGGTTTGTCAAACCTCAAACTCCGCCCACCCGTCATGCAAGACGTCAAACTTTAGGCGTCCACACGCTCCGTCTTGTCGGTCAAACCTGGCATGACATGCAAGATTGACTATAAGTTTGAGCGTGTGGACGGGGCTTGAGAGACGCACAGCCTACCTTTCCTTCAGTTCATTAATTCCTTAGCGTTGCTTAGAGTTTGTGTGTGCTAAAACCAACGTCTCAGCCGTCATTGTAGAGCTGCAGTCACAGATGATATTGCAATGTTATTCGTAAGCTGCCTGCTTGTTATCAGTTGATAAAGCTTTTATTTCTGTGAGCGGTTCATCAAATTGAAATGTAATCATTTTTTAGCATGTTGCTTCTGACAGCTCCCACAGGCCCAGGAACAGGATAATGTGATGTTGGGTCTCAGTCTGTGATTGTCGCTCGGTGGAGGGAGTGTGTGTCGCTCTCTCCCTTGTCCCGCGCGCTGTCCCGAGCGAGTTGTTTAGCTTCGGCCTCAGAAAGCTTTTCCCTGTCATGCGTCTTAAAAAGATGTACAGTTCTTTCCTATTTTTCATTCTGATATATGAATTATTCTCGACTCAGTATAGGATGTGGAGGGCTAGATGGAAATAAGGCGACGTACAGTGATAGTCAGCTTATGTGGCTCTTTCAAGACTTTAAGAACATAACTAAAATGAATAAATTATTTAAGAGAACGCCGGGAGCTATGGCGAAGTTCTTTACGCATGTTCTCACGGATTATTTTTAAAATAACTCACATATAATTTGACTTATACTAATTTCTTTTACACTTGCTCGCTCTTCATGACAAAAGCACTCTATTTCTGACATATTCATCGCTGCCACACGAAGGAGTTAAATTTGCTACTTGAGCGCGCAACTGAAAGTTTCAGCGGACAATGGTTCACTGCAACGCAAGATTACGGGGCTTTCTTATGTTACTTGAAGTTAATCATTGCGACCAAACTTGCCAGGCTGGCGAGGGAGAGGGAATTGATGCAAATATTCTCTAATGCGTTGGTCACATCACTCAATTGATGCGTCACATCAATTGATGCTAACATCAATTAATGCTAACATCAATTAATGCAAACATCCTCAAATGCGTTGGTCACATCCCTCAATTGATGCATCACATCAATTAATGAATCAATTAACTAATGCAAACAACCTCTAATGCATTGGTCACATCACTCCCCGTGAGCATCATTCTTTTTGATGTGGGCAATGCTATAGACTTGAGCTCTGAAGCAACTTACAATAGCCTTACGTCATTCGCATCAATCGAGTATCTTCTTTGCACTTTTTGCGACTTCGTGCTTCGTAATTTTGTATAAATCCTCCTGTCATTAAATGGGGAATATTTGCCTAACAATTGCTAAGCAACATGCGTTAAAGATGAAATGCTTTTAAACTGATCTTGAAGCTTCTTGTACCGTTTTTTTATCCTTTGTGGCAAGTTTTCCCGATATTATCTAAATTATTTTATTTATCCACTTTATTGCCCTTCATTCTTTGCTGTAAG